TATTATATTATATTATATTATATTATATTATATTATAATTAGATTAGATTATAGCATTATCTCTTAAACATCACATTATAAAAATGTTATAAATTAAAACTATTGTAGAGTTTTTCCAGAATAGTAGGCTATTTAAATTTGAATGTGAATGTATTAAAAAAAAAGAATTAAAAATAAATACAAAAAATTAAAGACAGGGTGTATTTGAAAAAATATGAATAATATTTCCATTAAAAATTGCATTCTGAAGCATAATTTAAATTGCACAAAAAACTATTATATTATATTATATTATATTATATTGTTACATGTTACAACAATTAATGTTCTGTTAAGTAATAAAATAAATTAACAAACAATTATATGTGTTATTCTGTCTGTGGTTGCTGTTACTGTTACATTAAGATTATAAATAACTTTATACAGACAGGATATTGCACAATAGAGATTTTACATGCCATAAATCATATATATCATGCATATTTCATTTCAAATCAGTTAAATTCAGTGAACAGCTTTGCTATTTCATGATCACACAATGACTTTGCCCGTGGCATTTTTTTTTTCCTCACACCAACACGGTGACCCAATTAATTTGTGTCAAAACACCGGCCATCAATAAAGTAATTGGAAGGAGAAGAGACCACGGGCGTGTTCATGGTCAGCCGTTTATCTGAGACACTTTCACTAATGGAACAGCGTGATTAGTTTGGTGGCGTCTCAAATGGACCATCTGTCCATCGCTCTGAGCTCAGGGTTCAGGCTGCCAGGCTGAACAATAACCTGGACCCTGCGTTTGCATTCACCAGACGGGCTTCGGCCCATCCTGCCCATACAGCTGTTCCTGAACCTGTGTGAGTGGATTTTTCACACCACACCCACACCTGATGATATTATGTTGCTGTTTGTGTCAATTAGTGGCTTATGGAGGCAAACATATACTCATACAGTACATACACACACAGTGCCAGATGATAATTATGACTTCTGAGGGGTCGGCCAGACGTCTGGTGAAATAAAATTGAGGCAAAGCGCTCAGAGGGCAAAAACAGATGCACCTCTTTAGGGAGGATGTTCACAGTATGTAGCAATTGATGATCTGATTGGAGAACAGTCATAACAGAACGGGCATGTGCCTGTCTATAGACCCTGAATGACCTTTAGCAGAAAAGCACAAAAATACCTATGCTATTTCATAGGTATTTACATGTAAAATATATACTTTTTTAAAATAATGGGTTTCTATGTAAAAACACAATGCAAAACGAATATTTTTTATTTATAAGCTGTATACTGTATTTGGTCTTTTAATATCACTGTCTTAATGCACTGAGCTGCATTAAGAGTTTTCATTAGAACAGGTTTCTATGGGAGGGAAACACTTTGTGTGTTATGTTCATATTCTGAGTGAATCTTCCTAAGCATCATCAATAAGACACATAATACAAGCACTGTTAATGCATTTTTCTTTTCTAATTAGTGCAATTCAACATGCTTTTTAAAAAAAAAGACATTTGTCATAATTTTACTTCCATATACTGCCGTACACAGGCAAAAGCACAGTACTTATGAACTGAGAAAAAAAATGGCTTCTTTTGGATTTTTTAAAATTTACTTTATATTAATTTTTCATACTGTATTTTGAGAATTAAATATTTTTTTTTATTTTCAAATAGTTCTATCCAAGTTTAATGCGCAGCAATATCTGTAAGTAAACAATTCAGCTGTATACAGCAACAAAACTCTCTGGAAATGTCCCATACTGTATAACCTAAACGTATGAACAAAATTATGGTGTCATCATTAATTCTAAGGTTTGGTTGCTTTAGCGAGCAGTAACACACAGTAAAAGTGCCTGAGCTTGCCAAGCCAGCAGACATATTTAAATGCCTCTCAGTGGTAATTAAACACTAATCCCAATGCCACCTTAATAAAACATATTTTATTGGTGACATTAAAAGGAGTAAGAGGGATGCCAAACATTTCCACACTTCAAAGACAGAGGCGTGAGCTATGGTTGGACTGACGCCAGAGTTCAGTGATGGTGCTCACACCTCACTGAGCTGGAGAAGTGCGGTCATGATCCAACATTCAACTCTGGTAACTGGAAATACAGCTACATTTTTACATTTTCTGCAAAACCTGTGCCATTATGCTGGGGTGCACTGAACCATTGCCAGGGTGTTGCTATGTAGTTTCTTGGGTGATCTGTGTGGTTTTCAGCATGTTGCTATTCAGTTGCTAGGGTGTTTTGTTGCTATGCTATTTCTGTGGTGTTCTTGGTGGTTTCTAGGGTATTGATAGGGTGTTCTGAATGGTTGCTAGACTGTTGCTACGTGGTCTCTAAGAAGGTCTGAGTGTTATGCAGTTTTTAGGGTGTTCCAGGTAGTTACTCAGGCATTGCTATGTGGTTGCTAGGGTGTTTGTGAGGTTAGGCTATGTTGCTATGCAGTTGCTAAGGTGATAGTTGCTGTGTGGCTGCTGGAGTTGCTGTTGCAGTTGTTGTGTGGTTGCTAGGATCCCTGGTTAGTTGCTAGGGCACTGGTATATAGTTTTAAGGTGTTCTGTGTGGTTTTTAACATGTTGTGATGTTGCTAGGTTCTTCAGGGAGGTTGCTATGTGGTATCTAAGATGTTCTGAGTGGATCTTAGCTTGTTTCTATGCAGTTGTTAAGGTGTTTTGGGTGGTTACTCAGGCTGCTTATTGCTAAGGTGATCTAAGTGTTTTTAGTGTGTTGCTATGTGGTTGCTAGGGAGCTCTAGTTAGTTGCTTGGGCACTGGTATACCGTGCTAAGGCATTCTGTGTGTTTTTTTCTTTTTCTTTTTTGTTCTTCTGTTGTTAGGGTGTTCGGAGAGGTTGCTATGTGGTTGCTAGGTTGGTGTTATGTGGTCTCTAAGATGTTCTGTGGATCTCAGCTTGTTGCTATGGAGTTGTTAGGGTGTGCTGGATGGTTAGCTCAGGCTGCTTTGTTGCTAAGGTGATCTAAGTGTTTTTAATGTGTTGCTATGTGGTTGCTAGAGAGCTCTAGTTAGTTGATAGGGCATTGGTACACAGTGCTAAGGTGTTCTGTGTGGGTTTTGATGTGGTGTTGTGAGGGTGTTCAAAGAGGTTGCTAGGTTGTTGCTATGTGGTCTCTAAGATGCTCTGAATGGATCTCAATTTGTTGTTATGCAGTTGTTAGGGTGTTCTGGGTGGTTACTCAGGCACTGCTGGTTGCTAGTAGGGATGCACCAAAATTTCGGCTGCTGAAAATTATCGGCAGAAAATGGCATTTTTGGTTTTTGGCCGAAAGAGAAAAGCGGTCGAAAATATCAGTGTTCAGCGCGCAGGTTTCACTCTCCCTCTAGCCATCGTCACTGTGCGGTGTGGCGCTCCGCTCAATATTCCGCTCTATGAATATGCGTTCCGTTGAGTTGCTCACAGCCTGTGCGAACGCTCCACTCGTGTACCGCTCATGTTCACCGGAAAAGCAAAGTCAGCTCAAATAGCGTGCCGACAGGAAATTTCTATGTAGTATACTTGTTCCTGTTTGCAATAGCGCTACTGTGCTGTAACGGTGTAGTACAGCTGTACTGCCCTACAAAGGAAAAAGACCTTAACTCGCTAGAGTGTGAAACTGAGAAAAATTCTTGGGTGATCTGTGTGGTTTTCAGCATGTTGCTATTCAGTTGCTAGGGTGTTTTGTTGCTATGCTATTTCTGTGGTGTTCTTGGTGGTTTCTAGGGTATTGATAGGGTGTTCTGAATGGTTGCTAGACTGTTGCTACGTGGTCTCTAAGAAGGTCTGAGTGTTATGCAGTTTTTAGGGTGTTCCAGGTAGTTACTCAGGCATTGCTATGTGGTTGCTAGGGTGTTTGTGAGGTTAGGCTATGTTGCTATGCAGTTGCTAAGGTGATAGTTGCTGTGTGGCTGCTGGAGTTGCTGTTGCAGTTGTTGTGTGGTTGCTAGGATCCCTGGTTAGTTGCTAGGGCACTGGTATATAGTTTTAAGGTGTTCTGTGTGGTTTTTAACATGTTGTGATGTTGCTAGGTTCTTCAGGGAGGTTGCTATGTGGTATCTAAGATGTTCTGAGTGGATCTTAGCTTGTTTCTATGCAGTTGTTAAGGTGTTTTGGGTGGTTACTCAGGCTGCTTATTGCTAAGGTGATCTAAGTGTTTTTAGTGTGTTGCTATGTGGTTGCTAGGGAGCTCTAGTTAGTTGCTTGGGCACTGGTATACCGTGCTAAGGCATTCTGTGTGTTTTTTTCTTTTTCTTTTTTGTTCTTCTGTTGTTAGGGTGTTCGGAGAGGTTGCTATGTGGTTGCTAGGTTGGTGTTATGTGGTCTCTAAGATGTTCTGTGGATCTCAGCTTGTTGCTATGGAGTTGTTAGGGTGTGCTGGATGGTTAGCTCAGGCTGCTTTGTTGCTAAGGTGATCTAAGTGTTTTTAATGTGTTGCTATGTGGTTGCTAGAGAGCTCTAGTTAGTTGATAGGGCATTGGTACACAGTGCTAAGGTGTTCTGTGTGGGTTTTGATGTGGTGTTGTGAGGGTGTTTGCTAGGTTTGCTAGGTTGTTGCTATGTGGTCTCTAAGATGCTCTGAATGGATCTCAATTTGTTGTTATAGGGTGTTCTGGATGCTCTGAA